TTTATAATCAAGGTTTTTGCATATTAATTTCTTTTAAATCAATACGCCTACAAGTCCTCAGTTGAGATCGACTGACAAAGAATTACTTTCAGTTTGAGGAAAGTCCCGTTCTAAGAAATTACCATATCCTGGTAGAAACCCTATTTGAGTTATTACTTACTTGAAGGTCATGATTGGCTTCGTTTTGTTTTTAAGTTATACAGATTTTTGATCTTTTTTCCAATTATCTTTAATATCAAGGTCGTAAGCAATAACTAAATTAAATTTTATATTCTGTAAAATTTAATCTGTCAGGTCATTGTCGCCAGAGATTAATATGTATTTGAAAAATGTTGTAACTAAATAAGTTTCAACTTATTGGCTACACAAATGTTGGACAAATTTCGCTCCTGGGGAAGATTATTCGTGTATGCACTTTTAAAAGAAAGTAGAAAAAAAAATATTTTTCGGGAACTATAATCTAGGATCCCATCCTTATAAAAAACGTACAATTGAATTGAAAGGCGTGTTCGCGAAAGGTATATAAAGTGACATTGAAATAAAATCTTGACCGAGATCTTTTGATTACTGGTTACATAACGTTATGCTTTGGGGCGAGAGAGGTCATTATTATTGACTGATAACACGCTCTAGTTTACATCATAATCGGTTTAGCTGTTTACAGGGTGGAACCAAGATGCGAATAATTTTTTGCTAGAGGTCATATATTTAAATTTTACGTGTTTCTATGAGAAAAATTATTTTTGTTTTTTTTAATTCAATTAATATTCAAGCTTAGGTATCTTAGGTGATGTACGTAATGCTGATAAATTGTAGACCTGTAGGATGTTTCTTCTTCTTTCTTCGAGAACTCAAACGGATTTCCAATCGAACTTACTTTACCCAGCTGAGCTTTATAGTTCGCAAGTGAATTCGATATCTCATATTTACATAATAGGGGAACTGATCTTCTCCTAATCTTACGATAAGTCAAGTTGAGCTGCAATATGTAGAACATTTTCTCAACGTAGAAAAGTTTTTCGAGTCTGCCCTGCTTCAGTGACGACTCTCCACGCTTACTTGACCAAAGCTTGGTGGTTTTAGGGGGACGGAAATCCGCGTGTACTGTTTCTTATTAACGGTGTACTCCTAAATCTAAAAAAGTTTTTTTTTTTAAAAGATGTGATAGCCTCGAAGTCAATAACTGGCGATAATACAGCTTCTAACAAATATTTAGGCACCTATTTGTTAGTTTTTTAATTGCTATCCAGGCACCAACGGTTTGGTTATAAAAATTTAAAATAATTTCTACCAATAGCCAAACAATAGTGGTCTTGGTCGTATTTACACAAGTGTTATGATTAGAACAATCAAATTTGGATTAAAATGCAATAAAAAATCACGTTTACATCCGTTACTTAAGTTATGTAAATGACACCTGGCTATGGACCAGTAAAAATAAATATCACTTTATCAAATTTATTCGCTGCATTTATTACGATAATTACAAATCATTGATAAAATATCATTCCTCCAACAGGTCTTAAAAGCTGGACAACAAAAGTAATATTTTAATAAATTTAGTTTAAATTTAAGCAATATACAAGTTAATGCCTACGACTTTGGAGAACTAGAAAAATATTTTAAACATCATATTATATCTAGAGGACATAAAGTAAATCATATTACAGAGTTAAGCGAGATTATACAATCTTAATAGATTTTCCAAGTGTACAATGAAAAACTTGAAACTTGCAGCTACACTAAAGGTCAGTACTCACATACGGTATTACTCGATCGAGCTAAACTGTCGAGTAAAACCCATGGCATGGGCATTCGTCCACACATTGAGCATTGATCTATCGAGTGAGGCGCGCCGTTCAGTATTCACCGAACCGTTCGAGTCAAAGGATGTCTGTGCAACAAAGGAGACGGTGGCTGTATTTAGCAAGTCTCACAGTGCTTTATAAGAAAATCAAAGAAAATGAAAAGAAAAAACGTTAATCACAGCTAGTAATTTATCATAACATTCATTTCTCTTATTTTTGTGGGAGTAATCTTTGGACTTGACATTCCATAAACACTCATACTGTCTATATGTGTTAATAAAGTCTTCTATAGTGCTTTTGGAATAAACTCGCGAATCCATTTCTCTTAAAAACATGTTTCAATCACGATAAACAATACCAGACTGACGCTCGCCTCGCGCCACTCGCAGTCACGTACACACGTTCGAGTCAAGATTGACGGCTCGCTTCGAGTAGGTTCGAAGGAAATTACTTTCATTTAATTCCATAGAGCCGTCTCGGTGCGAGCCTTCGAGCTGTGAGTTTTGCGGTCCACACGTTGATTTTTACTCGACTTCGAGTAAAACTATCGAGTAATACCGTATGTGAGTACTGACCTTAAGAGAATTATACAAAATATATGAAGTATCACATTTTGCTTTATTACCCAGAACTTACTCGCAGCGAAGTAAAGAACTCGCAGACTAGATAAAAATATATTATTAATATAGTCATGAGCTGGAACGTGTATTAAATCTATCTGAAACTATAATGATTATTTATTGCAACAAAAGCGTAGAAAACACAGCATCGGCGCATTCATCTGCAATGACAAACTCTATATTCTCGAGGACTAAACATAAACCTTTCTATCTATAATATCTATATATTGCTACCATACCATTTATTCGGGCTATTGATAGTCAATATTTCATAATACGATATCGTCACATAATGAGGTCGATTTTGGTTTCGCTGTATATATTACTAAAATATTGGACAGACACAGTGGTAATTTTGCAGTGGATTGGACGTCTAGAATACTAATAATGAAGTCACCTGGATATTTAAATAAAAAAATATTTTATTAAGATGATAATGGTTATTATAGTAGACACATATCGACCGCAGGCCTTTTAGGATAATTTTGCAAAATCTTCTAGTGTTGAATTAATTTTCTATATAAAAACCAGCTAAAAGGTATATTATATTTATGTGCAAATTAAAAAGATATCCAAAAAATATATTTTACATTAATAAATACACGTGGAATAGAACTAGGTTATATATATTATATATATGATTATTTGATGATGATGATGACCTGATATTAAGTTATCGCCCATAGACACTTATATTGCCAGAGGGCTCGCAAGTGCGTTGTCGGTGTTTACTGGGTTACTCCCTGTGGAATGCAGGCGAGATAATTATATCTCGGCGAATTAAAATAATTATTAAATTATTTTAATTCGCCATACTTAAATCACTAACTATACATTGAGAAAAAAGTGATTTAACAAAATATGGAAAAAGAAAAGTAAATATAAAGTTCAACATTTTGCCTAATTAAGAAATTTTAGTCAACGCATAAAATGAAAAAGGGATTCGAATTAATAACAAATTCTGTTTGACATAATGCTAATGAGGTTGGTACTAAAACATTCCAAATATGTAGCTATGAAAGGGGCAACATTACAAAATATTGAGCAATACATTGTTGCGTAATATTTATCTGTTTATTAATAAAACTATTGCTCTTAATACTACTGCTTCCGCTATAATTATTTAAAAACAAAGATATGAAAATAATCTATGTTTTTTTCAATTAAAGGTTTTTATAATGCTCAATTGATATACTCAGTTGATATGCTTTTAGAAAATACTTTTTATTTTATCTTGTAAGACAGCGATTCAAATGTAATGTATATATAATTATCTTAATGTATATAAATTACGCGTCACGTTGTTTGTCCGCTATGGACTCCTAAACTGCTTAACCGATTTCAATCAAATTTTCACACCGTATACAGTTTGATCTAACTTAAAAGATAGGATAGCTTACATCTCAATTTATATCCGCAATATTATTTTATTGCAAAATATTTGTTTATTATTTGGTAGTCACAATTCTAACAGATGGCGCAGTGTTAAAAGTACCAACGTTTCAAATAAGCTACAATTTAATGGCATTACCACCAAAAAAGCATGGTGGTCCCCATGACTGGTGTTCTCCTACCGTTTCCCTTGAATAGGTTACTACTATGTAATATAACTAAAACCCTAGCTACAGCAACGCTTGGCCGGTCTGCTAGTATACTATAAAAGTTAGCTAAATACATTACATACAGGACTGTTGCCTATCGTGTTCTATATTAATATTTCAAACACAGACGAGACACGATACAGCACTTTACATGGAATATTATAGATCAACAATAATTTGTCATTAGGTACTAGTGTACAAATATCATAGTTGGTATTGATCTAGAAAAAATCTTTTCGTTAACACCAATTACAACGACGTAAAACTCTTAAATTTATTATTAGCCGATCACGTAAGGAGATAATAAGAGTCTGGCTCTTAAAACTACTCGTCCACACACATCTCGACATTTTTATTCCAGCCAAATAACGAATGGCGTGAAGAAACCTAATCGAATATCTTCGTATGTATTTTTAGAAAACAAAATGACGAATCGTTAATAAATATTATAATAAAGTTTATTAGAACTATTAACGTTAGACAATAATGGTACGAATAGTAAACGTAAATTTCATAACATACGCAATATTGCGTAAAGCTCCGAAATATATAATATAAAGTCTATATTATAAAGAAAGGTACATATTATGTGAAAATGTATATATTATACATCTTCACAATTTTTTTAGCTAATACAGAATGTTTAAATATTATGATATATTGAAGAATATTATGTTATCTTTGGAATTAGAATATTATTTATAAAATCCCTCTTAACTGTGGCAATTGTTACATTTAATTTAAAATTTATCTGTTGCTAGGCAACCAGACCTTCACAGAAATAAAACTACTATATCACCCTCATAATTATTTGACTATGACAATATAAAATACTATAGGTATATAACAAGTTAATTACCATGGGAATGCTTATAGTTTATAGTTTTGTCTACAATCTTATAGAAGAAAACCAACGACAAATTTGTCTATGGTTGACACTTTGACGCGCAAAAAAATTGATTATTTACAAAATGTATTCCGATGACCCTTCGTGTTCCGACTGTAAATTAGAAATTATAGAACGAAATTGGACTCAGTTATTACTAGATTGGGTATTTGTATTGATTTATTAATCTCCAACATGAGAAAAATATTACAATCTGTAGATTAAAATAATATTTTTTTATAATAGAAGCTTGAATCAGTCAGGTTCTTAAGTTGTTATTGTTCTAGACTGAATTAGACTTTAAAATCAATAATTATTGGTTTCAGCTAAATAGATGTGTGTATCGGTCGAAAGCAGTCACCGAACTAAGTTTTCGGAGTCTGGTGGACATTATAGACAAATACAAGAATGACATATGTGCCGACGATTTTAATAAAGCATTACTATGTACTGATGATTTGGAGCCATATATAGCATATAAATATCCTATATTACGATTAAGGTAAATTACAATATTTTTTGTTACTAATCCACTGGAATGTTTATAGATCTATAATATAGGACATTTAATGCTGTCTTAAAAGTTCTTACAATTTATATTGTTTATACATTAAAGTAATTTAGAGAAATGAAAGCCACTTCAGGAACCGTCGTGAGGTTTGAGGTCGCATCCCACTCAAAAAAGATGTGACCTCGTACGAGCAAGCCATCCCATGGCACGGGCAAGCGTCCATGAAATATCTAGGCGTCACGTTCAATAGCGACATGTATTTCTGCAAACACATAGCGGCCGTTCGTTCGCCAATGCCTCGTTTGTCTCTTTTGCACCTTTACTTCCTTCTGAATAAAAGGAGTCAGACCGGCACGACCTGGAGCTCGGTACCTTGTCCCAATGGATAAACATGATCGCCACTTCGACAAGACTAAACACCACCCCAACCCGTTGGTGCGTAATAGTATCAACTACTACCCCTTCCCGACAAAAGTCGGCTCCGTCACGTTCTAAGGGATCTGGATGATCCAATCAATATAGCTAATCACAAATTAAAAGCCGCCCTCGCGGCTAAGCCAATACAGATCAGGGTAAAAAAACTGCCTTTACTGGGAAGGGCGGGGTCGATTATTTCGCTCACTACAGTGAGCTTCCGTCCTGCCCTGCGATTCTGTAACTCACTTTTCGAACTCACACAGCGGTTTTCGCATGGCTGTACAGTGTCGCTGATTTCCATCACCTGGCGTAAATTAAGGCCAAGTCTGACTTCGAGCGTTTATTATTCTATTACATATATGAACGTAAGAAGGATTTTGATAAATGGGAGTTCGTGCTAAGTTTATTTTCTGAATCTTATCCTAAAAGTTTTGTTAAATTGTAAAAAGCTTAAAGCTTTTTTGTGATGTAACAGGGATCTATACGAAGAGGCTGAGTTGCCAAAAAAGATCTACATCATGACGTCAATACTCCTCTTCCACTGCTGCACTAACTCCCAGGGGCAAGTAGAGAGTGACATTTGCAAGGAGATGAGAGATGATGAGCAGGAAATAATATTAAAATTCTGCGAAGAGTTGAGTGATATGGAAGTGACTGTTAATAATATAAATACAGCTATAAAAGGTATTTTAAGTAATGTAGCTTTGGTCATGGTTTAAATAATAACTCATGTAAAAAACATGTATTAACCATAACATTATGGTTCAAAAATATATTTTTTTACCAATTTTGTTCCCTGGATTTAGAGATGTAACAACATTTTACTAAGAAAAATATTACTAGCATTCAAAAACCTGTATTTGTATTGATAAATTTTTTGCATAGGAAACGACTATCAATTCGTATTTTGTAGAAGAATTTAGAACCGTAGTGGTGACTTGTTTGCTTTGGATATAGTTTCCGAGACATAAATATATTGTTTGGATTTAAGGATTCATATTTAAATATTAAGCTTACATTTAGACTTTATTTAATCAAGAAAACATCTTCTTTAGCTATGTCTATGATAAAATAATCATGTCTCAGTATTTGTAACCAAACTCCTCCTAAACGGCTTGACGGATCTTGATTGAAAAATTTTGTTTCTTTTTTGATTTTTTAAATATTTTGTTTATGATTTAGGTTTAAAAAGTACACTACCCATGATCTTTATCCTTCTACCACAAACCCCCATCAATAGGGACATTACTACTGTAATAATCTTTTTATGGAAACACAACGTTTGCCGGGTTAGCTATGAGTTAGAAAAAATAAGTTACAAAATATATTACTAAACACATCCGTGGCTTAGTTCGTAACAATAGTTAACTGCTTGGATAGTTAACTAAAACTCAAACCCATCAATGTAATCAGCGTTAAGGTGTTTGATCTTTGGTTCATTTTTCACGCGTGCGTATTGTTACTTAATGTCTTTACAGAAGCCTTTGAAATGAGAAATAGAAATGAGACAGAATCGAGGATTGAGACACCAAACTCATCAATGCAAGTGATGATATCATCCGAAAAGAAACCAAAGCTCACCTTTAAGTCATCTATAACTGTTCTGCCATCTGTAGTTACAGAGACATCGATGTCAAGGTCACTAAAATCTTACACAAATGTGGATAGTTAATTTCCAAGTTATTTAATTATACTTCGTTAACTTTACCTTATACAAAAACATACATATAAAAACAGGTTACATAAGTTATTAGGCAAGGAGGGCCTTATCGCTAACAAGCGATTTCTTCCAGCCAACCCTAGTATGGAACAGTAAAAAAGAAACAGCCAAAAACAACTTACAGAGGGTAAAGTACAAGAAGTGTCCCCCCCGTGTAACGCGCCGTAACGTTCCCAGGTATAGTTAAACGTTTCGTGACGGCCTAGTGACTCTTTATACTTAAAAGTTACCATTATGTGGTGTAAAGTACTGGAAAGTCGATAATGATATTAACAATAACGCGTAATTCAATCCCCGCCCCGCATCGTAACGTTTTAAAAAAGGACCCCCCCGCCCCTCCAAAATTCGTTACGTCATACTTAAACGCTCCCTAAATAATTAACAAGGAGAATACAAAATATCATGTAGGTAACGCTAACTGTAACTAAAATAAAGTAAACTCTAAAAAAAAATATGTATAAACAAAAATGTAAAAGCTAATCCAAGGGTTAATTGAGTCACAATTAATATATATAAGTAGCTAATTATGAGGCAGAAGAAAAATTATCAAAAAGAAGATTTTTAATCAATTTAAAGACTGAGCTCGTCTGATATCAAGTGGTAAGGAATTCCATAGCAGAATACTTTGCTCAGTAAAGGAGGATAGAATTCGGTTTTATAAAATAAAATAAAATAAAATAAAAATTATTTAATTCAGACCATTAAAAAATCCATATATTGTTAGTAAAGTAATCCTTATAACTATGTTAGTAAAATTAAAATTAAATTTAGCAAAATTATTAAAGACACAAAGAAGAAAACATTTAATTCATATATCTACGTTGATTCGAGGCACCAGGTACACAGGCATGTATATGAACCCAATGTCTCAAAACAGCACATTCGGGTTTACCTATAACCATCAGGATATTGTTAGAACTCGCACGAACCCCACGCATCAGTGAGGCTGTCCGTTTGCGGATGATTGACGAAAAATCATCCACGTGTGCATCTGCAAACATACCTGATGCGCTACAGTACCGCGGGAGCCCCAACAACATCCTGAAAGCATTATTATATTGCACTCAAAGAGCATTGTATGCCCGCCGCGTATATCTAACCCACAGGGCACATGTATAAAAGGACTGGCAAAACGCCTTGAACAAGGTTACCTTGACCTGTGCGTTACAACGATAGAACCTGCGGGCCAGCATATTGCAACGGACAGCTAATGCACTCCGTTCCCTTTCAATATCTGCATCGTCATTAAGGTGCTCAGTTACAATATGGCCAAGGTATTTGAACTCAGTAACCCTCTTCAGTGGAACGCCTCCGAGTGTTACTGGTGGCACATAAGTCGGTTTTTTCTTTGCTGCCTTAAAGACGAGCAATTCACTTTTTTAACATTATAGCGGAGCCCATGCGATTCCGCGAACCTCTCACAGATGGACAAAAACCGCCGGAGAGCACAGACCGATGGGCTCAACAGCACCATGTCATCTGCGTAACTGATGCTATTCACACAGTGACCATCGATCGAGCAGCCGACACGTGCGCCACCGAGCGCCTCGATCAGCTCATTTATATACAGGTTGAAAAGCGCCGGTGAGGTTAAACCCCCCTGCCTCACCCCGCATTCCAACCTGTACTCCTCCGACAGTGTGTTTGACCATCTTACCTGATTCGTCTGACGCTGATACCAATGCGAGAACAGGTCCACGTAAGGTCCCGGTACGCCAGTCTGCCTCAACTTACCCCACAACAAGTCGTATCTGACCAGGTCGAAAGCCTTCGAAAGATCAAGAAACACTGCATAAACAGGCGTATTCCTCTCCGTGTAGTATCCTACCACATGCTTCAGCGACAGAATTGCACACTCGGTAGATAACATGGGTCTAAAACCAAACTGAGCATCACTTAATTTAAGATGATTACTCACCTGCCGCTCGAGCACTGCGTCGAGTACCTTAGCAGTTATGGTTGCCACGGAGATCGGCCGATAGTTGTTACAGTCCGACGATACGTCACCTGTTTTGTTTTTTAAAATCGGGACAGCGACCGTTCTCATTAAAGAACTGGGCAGATACGAATGTCTGATACAGATGGTATATAAGAGCGCCAACAATCTAGGCAAATGCGGACCAGCGTGTTGAAGGTGCTCAATGCTGAGGTGGTCATGACCCGGAGACTTACCCTTAGTCATATTATTTATTATCATAGCTATTTCCTTTGCTGTTATCCGAGGTGGTACTAGCGAGGGTCGACTCGGATCCACCACACTAGCATCCGCACCCCCACTTAACTGTCCAAGTGATTGTACCCTGAAATGGTTCTTAAACAGGTTAGCAATCTTCACAGGCTCACACTCACCCTCAATGCTCACCGGGATACCAGCTTTCGGACTCAATTTCCTTGTTTGTTTCCAGAAACCTCGGAAGTCTTTTTGCTCATGTTTTGTAGCAAGAATATTCATTTTTATTTGCTCCTGGTGGTTTTGACAAAATTTAACCTTTTTTTTGAAAAGTTTCCTCGATTCCACCATATCACTATAAACAGTTCCTATCCGAGGTTTCCCGTTCCAAACCCAGCAGAGAAATTTTTGTCTAGCATCTTGGTGAGCACTGCGGACATGCTTGTTCCACCCTATCAATGGTCGAATTCTCCCATGGGTTATTCCACACTTATTACTAAAATTTTCGTAACAATTAATAGAGGATTCAGTTAAAACATTAATAATACACATATATAAATTATTTATCACAGATAGATGATTCACATTAGTACACATATTATCACAACATTTGCTTAATTCTAGAGGAAAATCTATTAATTTCAATTTATCATTACAATATTTAAAATACATATAAATTTGATCTCTTGTGCGCTCACCCCATATAATTTTATTTACATTACCAATATTAGGCGGAATAGTCATGGGTCTAACCCATTCAAGATTACATTCGACCTCCAATGGAAAGTGATCTGACCAGAAGACATCATAATGTATTTTTACATTTACTACTGTTCGCCATGCGGCCATAGTAGTTAAACAATGGTCAAGCCACGAACAGGTACCATGCACATCGCTAGTGTAAGTATATGATTGAGAGTCAATACCTAGTCTCTCAATGTCCGCACATAGCCAATTCTGCTCTGCGCAAAAGCTTAACATTTCATTTCCAAATAATTTGCCGGGATGAGCATTAAAATCTCCTAACACATATTTATGAATGCACGTATTTCTGCAACTTTCTACCCTCAGCTTGTGTTTATTTTTTATTTTGCCATACTTGCCTGGAAGAAAACGCATGTTAGCGATAAGACCGCCCGTTGCCTAACAACTTATGTAAACCAATAAATAATAAACAGAGATCCTATTCAATATTTTATTTTACAACACTTAAAATTCACTCGCCCGCGTTTAAAACAAATTAACGGTCCATTTATTTCAGATCCTCATTAGAGGGATTTTCTGATATTGCCTGTTATCCGGTAACGTACGGAAAGTTTAACACTAACCAAATAGTGATGTCTTCCGATTCTAAAGATACTGATGTATCGAATTATAATTTGGACATACAAAGTAAGTGTAATTTGTAAGGTTCGAAGCATTTGTGATCGCTAAATTAACCATGATTATAGCAACAGTAAATGTACCTATGTATATGATAATGTACCAACAAATCATATTGACAACAAGTTGATGTTGATATTTACATTGCATTTATTTAAATAGCTTTTGATAGTTCTCGACATCTTATAGGTTGTTGACATTTGAAGAAATACAATAGTTTCACACAACATGGCGGTTTTTTTTATCGCTCTACCACTAAAAGTCTCGCCGCGATTAATATGTCAATAATGTAATAAATTTGCATTTATATTCTTCATAATAAGTTATATTTTATGTTAGTAATGCGCATAAACCAAGGACAGATTATGAATTAAATTAATAAAACAATTTTAGAGTCAAAATGTCAAGAAGACTGTTCATGCACGAAATGCCTTACATCAACAACTTGTTGTGGTGATCCTGGTCGGTCTATGGTTGAATGCGATCAGCCCATGAAAAAGATCATGTCAGTATTAATTTTACTACAAACTGTAGTTTAGGTTATTTTTGTAAACATTTTATGTATACATTTTTGAAGTGAAACTTCTTTAGCCGCATGAAGGTAAAATTTTTACGGATGAATCGCAATAATAATAATATTAGCGTCACGAAGATGTGCAGCGTTTTTGTCGAAGAACAGGGAGAAAGCGATTGAGAGAGAGTGAGAAAGGGCGAACGTAGCATGAAGCAAATAGGTATGGAGCGAGAGGTGGGAGAGAGCTATAGTGAGAAAGATGCTGAGAGCTATAGAGAGAGAGAGTAAGGGAGATCGAGAAAAAATACATTTAAACAGTATTCATTTAGTAGTTACATATTAGAACTTTAGATGGCAATTCTGTCGCATAACGTCTTGTGCAGTAAACGCAGATATTTATATATATTATCATTAGCACGTATACTGTGTGTATACAGTGTGAATATAGATATACAAATACATGAAGTGATCATATACTGGTATATGATCATCAATTGGAGCTTTTACCTGAGTAATAATTAATTTACAAAGAAGTTTCACTTCTGACGTGTGTACTTTGTACGCACGCACTTTTTTAATAAATTGTGTCAGCACAAAGACATCATTTAACATTATGATCTAATAAAACTAAAAATGATATTAAACATAAGAAAGTATCTAATAACACTACTCAGTCTCAGATTATCTTCTTATGAGTACCTTACCCAAAAATAGTAGGGTTAGGTACTCATAAGAAAATAATCAACGTGTTTTTAAATATCGCCGATGACAAAAATAAGTATCACGTGATCAAGATTTTTTATACTTGCAAGTAAAATAGTATTTTCAATGTATAATTTTGTATATTTAATTTTTAAATCGTTTTTTTACAGCTCTCAATGGAACTGGAAAATATGTATTATAGTTTCAAGCGCCTTTTTATTGTCAACTCTCGTGATCATTCTTAGTACTATACCACTGTGGAAGATGAGTAAAAAACCGACAGTTGTGAAATTAACTGAACAAAGAGGGTAAGTTTTTTTGACAATGTATAACAGGCGGCGTAAAGTTTTATACTTAACGTTATGGTAGAAACAATTTTAAATAAGATATCATTGTCCTATGTTATTTATGTTGTCAGGGGAAATTTTCGTAAAGAATAAAATGTAAAGTAAAAAAAAACAAGAATAAATCAAACTAAAGACACTTAAACTAGTTTAATAGCTGGAATTGCGATGGGTGGCTAACATTTTGTAGTTTTAACGGTAACATTTTTTTAATATAACGGGGGCAAACGGGCACATGATGTTGAGTGATACCGCCCATATACATTGTCAGATGGCTCGTTAGTGCGTTTCCAGAGTTTTTATTGAAAGACCCTAAGTAGAATTGGTTTGGAAATACTTCAGTGGGGGTGGAATTTCGTATTCTGCCTCGACGTCCGATGATGAAATATACGTATTGTATTATTAGTATTTTTCTTCTTCTTCTTTCAGAACTGTAATCCCAGACTGGATGTGGCATTGTGATAATAGTTTTTGTAATAAAGTTTTTCGCCCCGCTACCAATATAAGCATGTATACTTCTATGAGCCGTTGCAAATTGCTATGTTCTGGACCCCAACTTTGGCCGCAACCTATTGGGTATACCTTCTTTAGCAAAACAATAGTGTCTTTAGCAACAAGTAAGCTGGAATATAAATTTCAATCCATACCTTCCGATTCAGTTAACCAGTACTTAGCTGAAGCATTTAAACTTTTCTTAAAGGATTTAGCAAGACTCGAAAAAATTGATACTAAATCACGAGAACCTCTTAAAGAACCGGTCAAAAAGATGATTATACAATTGGATATTGAAAGTGACTCTGATCCGAGACTTAGGACTAATACCGACGAAGCTTACATGGTCAAAGTAGATACAGAAAAACATCAAGTTTTTATTAAAATCAGTGCGGTTTCCTTTTGTGGAGTTCGACATGGCCTGGAAACATTAAGTCAACTAATCTTACTTGATCAAAGTACTGGTACTCTAATAACACTATCTCATACAGTTATTAAGGATGCACCAAGTTATAAATACAGAGGTGTAATGATAGATACTGGAAGGAATTATATACCCGTTATAGATTTAATGAGAACATTGGATGGAATGGCAACGTGCAAACTCAACACCTTTCATTGGAGGATATCAGACGTTACAAGTTTTCCTTTGAAGTTGTCAAAAACGCCGGAACTGTTTGAGCATGGAGGCTATGATAGAAGTATGGTTTACACAAGAGAAGATGTCAAGGCGGTGGTAAAAAGAGCTGGTATTCGCGGTATAAGAGTTTTGATAGAAGTGGCTTTACCTGGTCCAGTTGGGCGACCCTGGTCTTGGCTGTCAGATACAAGTTGTCCAACTAAAACCGAAAACTTTACTTGCAACAATCCTTTGTGTCTAAGACTGCTGATGACAGAATCGGTTTTTGATGTTTTACAAAACATTTATGCTGAAATTATTGAATTAACGAAAGTTGATGACATTTTTCATTTGAGCGATGGAATATTTTCATTGATGCGTTGTAATAATTTAATTGAAGATAGAGATGGATATCTAGATAAAGCATTATTTCGTTTAAGAATCGCAAATAAAGGATTCTTGCCGAAGCTACCGATAATTTGGTATTCTACTCATTTGTCACGAGATTTTGAAGCTAAAGTTTGGGAGAAATTAGGTGTCCAACTCTTAGATTGGACCCAAAATCCTTCTGAATTTTATTTGAGTCAATTTAAAGTGATACATTCCACGAAATGGGATTTATCTTGCGAGATGAAAAAGCAACGATGCACTAGATATAGGTAGGATTATGCATAATAACTAAATTTATTTCTTCACTGAGACAGCATGGAAAGTTACGATCTCGAATTATGATATTTAACATAAGAAAGTGTCCAATAACTACTTACAGTCTCTATTAAAGGGAAGAACCTCAGCCTTGCGATTCTGTAGACTGTAACTCCCTTTCGAATTCACACAGCGGTTTTCGCATCGGCGGTCGCTCTCAAATCAGTCGTGAAGCAGTCTTTGATTTGGCATTCTGATAAACAATAAACTGTAAGCTCTCACCTTTTCAGAATGCCAAATCATAAAATGACTGCTTCACGACTGATTTGAGAGCGACCGCCGATGCGAAAACCGCTGTGTGAGTTCGAAAAGTGAGTTACAGAATCGCAGGGCTGTTCTTGTTTATCCACTTAACACTGTTTAGTATTTAAGACTAACTTGCACTAACAGTAATTCACTAATTCAAATAGTTTTGTCCTTTTCATAATAACTAGTAATATATTTTTTTTTACTTCTAGGCAAAGATGATATTAATAACACCTCAAACGCGAACTATGACAGCCGTATATCAAAATCTATTACGATTCTATCTATTTATATTATATATACAAGCTTGGAGCATAAGTCTCACCTCTGAACCATAAACTCTTAATCTCGATGGGCTTTATATATATTTCAGCTAATATTAACAAGAAATTGTTCGTGTTTGCTTAAGCCTACAAAAGTATGTTTTACTTTCAGTAATTCAATTAAATATGTTTTTTAGAACTTGGCAAGAAATGTACTCATGGAAATCGTGGAGAAATATTGAAGTTTTTACGATAGAAGGTGGTGAGGCCGTCTTGTGGACTGATTTGGTTGATACTGGTATATAGTTTGCTTCTAGTTTTGCGAATTCTATTGGATCACAATAAACAAACAAAGACGACGAATGCAGATTCCCATAATATTACCAATTTTTACTTTACTATATCCATTCTATGTTGACAGTATGAAGCCGTAGAACTTATTTTCCCATTTGATTATTATTTTTTGTTTTCCATAAAAGAAGATTAAATCATCATTTCGGTTTGTACATAAACACAAAAAATCCCGATTAATTTCATAACATGTTAAATGGTATGATTATATAGCGCAATTACTGCATATTAAACTTATTACATTACTGGTTTATTAGTGCGTATCTCATTGGCACATATCGTGTGTTATTTATTCGTTAATCAGTTGTAAAGTAGCGCTAAACTGCCGTTTAAGTAAATACGTTGTTTACATCATTATTGAATGATATTTTTTAACGCTTGGAATGAATAGTTTGGCAACATGTTACAGTGTCCAATGCTAGATTTAGAATTCTGGAGTTCCGTTCGGAGAGTTCCGTTATTAAAGGAGTGGAGGCCTGGCCTGGCCCAAATATATTCCAAATAAAATGGACAATTTTTTAAACGAGTTTTCCACTAATATTGTGAAACCAAGTATAGATTATTTTATTTTTAAAGCTTCTATTGTGGAGGCTGTAGCCCCGGCTGCACTCCGCTGAATCCAGGGCTAATAGTGTCTACGTAAAATGTTCCTAAAAATAAAATGTTACTAAAAAGTAAAATGCTACGTCAAATTGAAGATGTGAATGTAGAACGAAAGAAAGGTTGGATTGTGAATGTTCAGTAGCATCTCTAATCCAATAAGGATCTACCTTCCGTTTCACCATTCACAATTAAACAAAGCACACCATCGTTTTACATTCTCACTTGTTATGGGCAGTCATATTTCATGCAAATATCTCGAATCTCTAAAAAGAGATTGCCAACATACGAAACCAAGCTACCGCACTTTAAAATGCTGTCATTGGACAATCGTAGAAAATCATTTGCGTTTAAGAATCAGGTTGATTGCCCCAACCATTTAACTAAATTTAAATTTCGTGTACACTTTAGATACCCCAGGTATCCCATCATCCCATTTGTCCCTCCTTTTAGACGAACGCGTTTTGCCAAAACTCATCGATATATATCGAGGATTCTAATAAACGAGCTAGGTCTGGATATCCATAGTTGCTTTCCTTTTTCCTTTCGTTTTTATAATGGAATTTTGGTTGAATTGTTTTTATCTCTTCGTGTTGCCTATAAGTGTGTGTCTCATTAAATCTAGTAAGCGTCAGAAAGCTTTTGTAAAAAACTTTGATGCTAGCACTAAACATATTACACGATCATTTGACTTCTAGCACTTTTTGATAGTTTTATTAAGTATTTATCGGCAAAACACAAAACGGTGAATAGCTCAAGTTTATTAAAAATATTTTTGCCGTTAAAATAATATCACAAATGTAAGAAATCAAGTCGAATAAACCTGATATTATTTGATTGAAATATAAGCGAAATCTAGTTACCTATAATGCCTTGCTAAATGTACTTAATCGACACACTATATACGTCTTGTATTGTGATATATATACCTTGACCTGTGACATATTAGCCTGGAATTTATGAAGCAGTATAAATGCGAATTTAAGACAGTGTATCTAATTAAATATCTTAGATTTACTATTTTACGATTAGAGTGAACAATTTTCACTGACGTTATGACCGTAAACAGTTATTGGGTGATAGTAAGTTTTTATGTTTTTGAATTAAGAATTTCACAAATTTAAAGAATGATTTAATAAATTGAAATGTTTAATGAAATGAAATGGTCGTCTATCTAATAATGATCATATTGCTAATATACTATCTTTTAAAAGGGTCGTGTTTTTGTTTATTACATTTCCACGACAAAATAATCCAAGATTGTGGAACAAGTATGCGTTCTTCGTCTTGGACGACCTGTGCCAGGTACCTGTTTACCCGACTTTCTAAAAAATTATAAAATGAAAACATACAGAAATCAGAGGCATGTATTTAGACAAGAGTTGTACTGCCAATGGATAAATATTATTGAATAATAACAAAGCCACTTGTAATTCCATGTTATGAATTTTTTTTAAATCAAATGGGTGTTAGTTTTGTTATTAGACTTCGTCTACGTTGGTATGGACCCCTTTTAGGTAAAGGCTCCTCCAAAAGTTTCCATTTGGACTGTCGTCAGCCCATCGTTTTTGTGGTCTTCCCACGGTTCTTTTTTCTGGGGTCCCTTCCAGCGGGTGACTTCAGCGGTCCATATTTTATCTGTACACCTACTGCAAAATGGCCTTCCCATTTCCATTTCAGTTGTAAGTCGTTTAGCGCGTCCGTGATCTTAGTTTAGTAGTCACTTCGTATTGTGAATCTTTTTGATTTTTAAGATGCTCCGCTTCATTGCTCTCTGGGCCTTAGTTACAGTTAATATTATTTACTTAGTGTAAATCTAACATATTTAACATTAAGTTAACTGTGTTAATGTCAATTTAAAACGATAACAAGATATGTCAAGTCACAAATCTAGGTTGGAAGAACTTGCACTTTTAGTAATGTCCGACCTTCGCAACCATTATATGGCTTGTATTTGTTACTTCTGGGAAGCTTGTAACACTGTTGTGTTTTGAAACTTCATGATTATAGGTGTCAAATTTACAGGTAACATAGACGAACATTTGTGGCCGCGAGCGGCAGCTGTGGCGGAGAGGCTGTGGTCAGATATGGTTGCAAACTCTAGCGCAACCAAATTTGTCTACCTTAGGCTTGATACACATCGGTAAGCCCTTTTTAATTTATGAATAGTAAATTATAATAATACTTATATTATTGTCTCCTGCAAAACGTTTATCATATTGAAGACAATGTTATCTAGAATGAATTTTGTGAAACTTCAGTCAAATTTATCTTCTGTAAATTGTGAATCAAAGTCATAAAAACTTGATATTTTCTTTTGACGCAGAGCATTGTTGGCCTACTGGTTTAAGTGTGCGACTCTCATCACTGAGATCGTAGGTTCGATCCCCGGCTGTGCACCAATGGAATTTCTTTCTATGTGCGCATTTAACATTCGCTCGAACGGTGGAGAAAAACATCGAGAGGAAACCAACACGTCTTACACCCAAAAAGTCGACGCTGTGTGTCAGACACAGGAGGCTGATCATCTACTTGCCTATCAGATAGTTTTCAATCATAAAGCAGATTCTGAAATCTGAGGATCAGACCGTAAGAGGTGGTAGTGCCACTAATTTTTTTTGCACAAGTGCACAATACAAAAAAAAATACGCAAGATTATTTAGAATTATTAACTATTTAATTATAAACTGACCCAAGGCTGTGCTTTATAGTACGTATATAGATATTGGCTGACAATTGTATTATTTTAAACGCAAAATACATATTTGTATGATTGGGATAACGATAATTACATAAATGGTATTTTTCATCTTCTTCTTCTTAAAGTGCCATCTCCTTGCGAAGGTTGGCTAGTTTGATTTTGTCTTAAGTTTTTCAACCAAGACATGCGTCGACGGCCAGGTCTCCTTCTACCTGACACTTTGCCTTGTATGATTAGTTGAAAGAGCTCGTATATATTCTTCATCAAGGCTTTCAATAATCAATCATACCTAATATCAGTGTCTATAAGGTACTAATAAGTGCTAGAGTCTAGTCCTCATGATGACAGGTAAAAAAGGTCGTCGTAGGAGCTTGATACTATTTGAGTACTACTTAACTTATTCAAAATACGCCTTACTATAATATTGCAGGTGGCGTATGCTACTTCACGGTGTCAAAGTTAAACCAATCTGGCCGGCCTGGTGTAGCTTCAACCCTGGCATATGTTTAGAAAGAATTCCTTAATAAAACAGCTTTTTTTACTTTTTCATTTATTTACATATAATGGCTTGCCACGCAGGAATAATTATTAAAAATGGCGTGCCATCATGCCATCATACGATCTACTATGAAATAAAAACAAAGTATGTTAAACAATTTAATGTGAGCGGTGGGCTAAACCTTAATAAGAAACGTTAAAATATGGGTCTAACCTTGAATCCGATACAAAAAATTTAAAAGTATATATATTGATCTTAATTATATAGAGCTCTAGAATTGGTTGGTTTGGTTGTGCAAGAAATTATAGTCCGGGATCCACCGCCCATTTTTGCACTTGATTACTATCAAGCTAATTTTCCGTGAGTAGGTTTATTTTGATGAGACGCCCAATAATTTCCTGTACGAAACTCTCGGTTGTGGTAGCTAACAGAAGTAGCAAGGATAAAATATGTTGATTTGATGATTCTCAAATATTTAATACTAACTGATTTTTTTTTTGTTAAATCTCAAGACAATTATCTAAATTATTCGAAAAAATATTTGTCCTACAAAATCTATGGTTTGATCAAAGAGTCCCCTCTTTCCGACATGTATCGATAACGAGGTCATCATAAATGATTACTAACCAGCTGATTTATTTATTTTTACTTAGTTAATATTTATGTAATTTAACAGACATATTGTCCTACAAATTGCGCGGTACGTTATCCTGGTCCTACGCTCAGAAATTGTTAATACCACAAGACCATTTTTCTCATTACTAACTGTAGGACAAAAATATCATATAATAGGTTAGTGTATTCTCTGCCCAAATGACACAACGTCCTACAAGAAAACAGGTATGTATCACTAGTCCGACAAGAATTGTAATTTTTTCGTTTTCCTATTAGTAAAATAAGATACAGTGAAAAAAATCTTTTTTAAAATTTAAATAACTTTATTTTTTAGTAATCTAGGTACAAAAATTTGTGTATTAATATATAAAGAAGTTAATCTTCATCTGATAAATCTTCGCTACTAACATCGCTATCATCTTCATCTGTTTCACTTTCTTCACTCGTGATATCTGACTCTAAAATAAAATATACATTAAAAAATAATAATAATAATTTATTGTAAATATAATATACTATCAAAAATTATTGTTTAAAGAATGTAACAATAATACAATGCTACAATAGAATGTTACAATGCTAATGCTCGATTTTACATAATTACGTAAAAATATGAACTTAATAAATTATGTTTCAATTATTTTAAAAATAAAGTAAGTAAATATTCGATCGACTTACCTTTCATAAGACAAATATTTAGATTTCACTCGAAATTCTTTGTAACAAGAGGAATGATAACCTATTACTTCGTCATTCCAATTTTCAGTTAATATAACATCTCGATATGTATGTTGATGATGCTTTCGAGCAGATAGAAAAGTTTGCAAGAAAGCCAAAAGTCTTTATTAAATTTCTTCACTTTTTCTCTCGAAAAGTAGAGTTTTCACATAACGAATTACACAAAAAACACTCCATAATTATTTTGCAGCAAAAAAAACATTTCTTGAAATTATTTATCAAAATAAAATAAAACACGTGGTCGACTGAGAAAATGTTTGCAGGCTTATGGTCGACACCAACGTAGGATACCTAATTCGCAGTAAGAATGTCTGCGCATGCGTACGCGTACCGGTGTGACTCACTGTATAGCAAAATACAGAAACCCACGACATATTTTATCATGGCTACCTCTGTTACTACCATAATTGAGAATTTTCGCATAGGAAATTTTGGGCGACTCATCGAAACGAAGCTATTCACGAAGATTCAGCTTGATAGTAATTATTTTTACATCAAGGATCTGTACTACTACTTTTGAGCGTAGGACCAGGATAACGTACCGCGCAATTTGTAGGACAATATGTCTGTTAAATTACACAAATATTAACTAAGTAAAAATAAATAAATCAGCATGGTTAGTAATCATTTATGATGATGTTATCGATATGTCGGAAAGGGCTCTTTGATCAAACCATAGATTTTGTAGGACAAATATTTTTTCGAATAATTTAGATAATTGTCTTGAGATTTAACAAAAAAAAAATCAGTTAGTAATAAATATTTGAGAATCATCAAAGCAACATATTTTATCCTTGCTACTTCTGTTAGCTACCACAACCGAGAGTGTCGTACAGGAAATTATTGGGCGTCTCATCAAAATAAAGCTACTCACGGAAAATTAGCTTGATAGTAATCAAGTGCAAAAATGGGCGGTGGATCCCGGACTATTAGGTCAGAATAGAAGATTTTTTTTTTTAAATTTTTAATCCATCTGCAATCAGCCTCATGGCAATATAGAAGAATATGATAAATTATCGCTGGGTATATCCCGGTGCATAGCAAATATAAAAACAAGAATTGACTGGTACCCACAAAACCTTTTGGATTACGTATTCATAACAGAAGAGTTGCCAGAGTTCTTCGGATTAATACCTGCAGCTGAGTTTTATCATTGGACGCCGAGGATGGACACAGATTATATACATTTGAGCTTTTTTAGGCAGTTTTTTTCCGCGTCGCACCACTATGTGGAACCAGCTGTGGGCAGCTGAAGTGAAGTATTTCCGAAACAATTCGACATAAGAAAAGAGTGTACCAATTCTTAAAAGGCTGGCAACGCACTTGCGAGGCCTCTGGTAATGTGTCTATCGGCGGCGGTATCATATAACATCAGATAACCCTCCTGCCCGTTTGCCCAATGTTATATAAAACAGTAACAATAGTTAAATTGATTTACAATTAGCAATTAAACGAATGAATGAATGAAGCCTTTATTTCAAACAACCATACACCAATTCTTACAGCTAATAATTAATCTTATGAATTTGAATATTTTGATATTTAATATTATATATTTATTTATACATTCTAAAACAATGTGTTTACCTAAAAAAAAAAACAAGAAAATATGACATCACAAAATTAACACATCAATTACATTAGAACATAAGCAATATATCAAAGGAAAAACTAAACAAATAACCACTAAAAAAAACAAATAATAATAATAACTAAAAAATAAAAATTCATAATAACTAAAACTAAAACTAATAAATTACAATAACAGTAATAAACAAAACTAAATGAAAACTTAAACCACATTAAGGGCTTGCAAAACAAAGTTACGGTAAGTTGGTACACTGTTGACACATCAATAAAATCTTTGACGATTCATAAATGTACTTGTTTACCTATATGAATAAAGATATTATGAGTTTGAGTTATATTTTCATCAATGTTTGTAAGAGCGAGATAGCCTATTCACTGGACCATTAACATGTGCGTCCACCGCAAACTATGCCAGCTAAGCTACGTGAAATGCCCCAGTTAAGTGGAACTAACTTAGTTGTGCGGCCGATCCGTAACTAACTGAGCTAAACTAAGCGCCTCTCACCCCCTTGCCTTACCCCTCTGACGCCTGTCGACAGTGTTGTGACAGTAGTCAGTAACTCATCAAACTATTGTCTAGATACACGATAGTACATCTTAAAATGTTCATCGTCTAGTTCATTAAACAAAGTGTTAAATTCGCTACTTGTTTTCCAGGACTGAATGTGTTCACTTATCCAGTATCTATGTTTCCGTTTTTTCTTCATAAAATAAGCAATAATCAATCTACTTCTCCTATGACGATAGTCCTCCTCTTACCTCTAAAGTCATCGTCATTGCTCGTGTCGTCTTCTAACTCGACGTTCTAGCACAAACTGGCCATCACTAACGTAGTTTTAGCTTATTTATTGGTGGACGGACAACGTAGTTCTAGTTTAGCTTAGCTTAGTTCACTGAGTTTAGTTTTCATTTAGTTTAGCCGGCGGTGGACGTTTGGCTTTAAAAGAAGCAGATAAGCGAGGCGTAGGTACGTATAGAAGACTTTTAGTTCGAGTAACTCTATGATTACAAAGAATCCACTCAATCTTCCTCGGCTGCTTGTCTTCCAACATGGCCTATGTTGGAAGAAGTCCTCAAAATTTTTCCACTACATTGGGCTTTTCCTTAGTGGGCCTGATACTTAATGATCGTCTTCCCATCGGATCACTGGTCTTCCTCGTTTTATTTAACCTTGTCTTGGATACCATTCTACAATTTCTTTAGTCCATTTACCTTACAATTAGTAATTACCGGAATTAAAGTGTCATAAAAAATCTTTGATACCATGCATCAGTTACGATTATTTTAGTACTATAAAACTTGTGATATGAAAAAAAAGTCTTCGCTCTCTGAATAAATAAAATTAGGAATATATTTACAGTATTTTTAGAAGCTGGGTGTTTATCTATACTTCTATTAAAAGCTGTGAGGGGTTTTTGTTGAACGCACTAATTTTAAGAACATTCTTTTGAATATTTTGAATAAAAATGTGTTGTTGTGTGTACTCCATTCCAAGGAATACCCTCTATAGAGTATAGAACAGCTCGCTACTGCGGCTTTATCGCGGGGCTGGGTAAGTAATGAGATACACCTTTGGAGTAAAAACCATTTAATTCCCTGCAATATTGTTCACAATTACTGGAACTATAAAAATAACCATTACCAGGTATATTATGTACATCATCATGAATGCGAAGATGGTCATGTTTTTAATTTCGCTTAAATCCAATTAATTTACGTTTTAGCAAGCATTTGTACATAAAATAAAATAATAAACACATTTTAATTTTGCCATATATAGCGCTAGAATTTTGTGACAGCTAACGCGTGACACTTTTTAAAGTCAAAAGAGGTTGTACTTATTTCGTAAATTTTAAATATTAGTAATTAAAAAACAATAATTTATTATTTAACCTAGCTTATAAATACAAACAAAAGAACAATAAAAACAATAATTAACCTTAAAATATAATAACTAAAATATATTATTTAAAGGAGTCCCTTTAGGCGAGGTTCCGAAAATACTGGCAGCGTTCCCCCTTTGAATAGCTAGACTAATTCTTCCTTTACAAATTATTCCTTAAAAAGCCTTATAGCGCTAGG